CCGAGTGGCGCTGGCAGCGCTGGGCTGGCCCCAGGTGGGTTGCGGCTGCGAGAAGACTCGGCCGGAGACTGGAGCCTCCGCTGCCGGTGTGTGTCTCTCTAAAAGCTGCAAAGCCCCCTCCAGACCCCCTCCCCCTCCCCGCGCTGGGAGATGGATGACTTGTCAGACAAAGGCAATAGATTCCACCACTCTGTGATTCGCCAGCGCCGGAGCCCGGAGCTTCGGCGAGGAGGGCCCCGCGCCTGTCACTCCGGTGCCGGCAAAGGGGAGGGTAGGGGAGGGGGAAATGGGAGGGAGAGAGGGAGCAGCCGGCGAAGGAGGAGGGAGGGAGGGGAGCGGGCCGGGGGAGAGGGAATGGGAGCCCGGGATTAAAACTACACTGAGAAACGAAACTAGCCGATAAGATAAACGTTAGATAAGGATAAAGAGCGGCCAGTCTAATGAATATTCAGGTAACGACAGAGGGCCTTGGAGTGCGCTGCGCTCTGAAGCCGGGCTCTCAGTTCTAACTCGCCCAGCCCTGCCATCCACCAGCCAGTGCCCGCCTGGGCCGCGCGGTCCCGGGCCCAGTGCGCAACCCTAGCCCCAATCCCACCACCCTCGGCTCTGAGTTCCCTTCCGTTCCTTCCCGGCTCTTCCTCTCTTTCTGGTTCTTCCCTTTGGCCTTTCCCTCCGGAGGTACCTTCCCACACATGCACCCCCACTTCTCATTCCACGGAAAAGTGTCCAGCAGTTTGTCTTGTCCCCTCCCGTTCCATGCGACTGCACGCAGGGCCTCCCCAGTCCTCTTGCCCACCGGGTCTGGGCAGTCCAGAACGCTTGGTTCAGAATCTAGCTGAAGACCTCCAGCGAGTACCCACCTGCCTCGGTGGGACTCAACGGATGGTGGGAGAGCCGGGGGACTTGGTTTCTGAACCCTCGGGTGACTGGGGACGGGGGCAAGGGAGGGATACAGTGCGAAGCGGCAGGTCGCTGGCGGCAGAGGATGCGGGAGACGAGGCTGTCTCTCCCCGGCTGGGGAGAAGAGGAGGCTGCGGACGCGGCTGAGCGCCGCCCGCTGCTAGCTCGGCGGATCCCGGGCGAGCGCAGGAGGCGCAACGCACGGGGCCGGCCCCACTCCTGCCGGAGCCTCCGCAGCTCTCTCCAGCACTCGCTCCCTTGCTCGCTGGGATTCGCACCAGGCAGGAGAAGCCCTTTGTCTCCTAACTGGTTAAGTACAGAATATCCGAGAGATCTTTATGAAATATTTTCCCTCGTCTCATAAATCATCTTGGCACTTCAGCTGATGTTTTAACTCTCTCTCCCTCCTTCGCTCCCTCCCCCCGCTTCCCTGGGTCTGCGAAAGGGCGGCTCGGCGAAGCCTGCGCAGCGCTCTTGCAGCCGGAATCCGAGGTTCCTCCAGCTCCTGTCTGCAGCTCCGGGCGCCCCGCAGAAGCGCGGCGGACTCACGCTCCCCTCCCTCTGGCCGGAGCCTGGGCGGCAGATAGGATGGGGAGAGATGCACCTGCCTGACTCAGCCCGACTCAGCCTGACTACTATTACCGGGCGTCTTGTACCGGGTTTTCGGGATGCCCTTATTCCTCAGGAGGAGTTCAGAACAAGCTCAGCGGGACGGGGTTCTGAACCTCACTCCTGTGGGGCCTGGGTCCGCTGGGATCCTGGCATTTGCCTTCCCTCCTGTATCCTCCAGAGCCCAATAAGCTTATTTCCACCTGCGGGGTAGTCTGGGAGGAAAACACTCCTCCCCGGCTGCCCCTCCC